GTGGGTATGGTCGTTAATGAAGTGTTCCTACGGACACTACAGTATTGACTACTGTATTGTCTTCAATACAGTATGTATTGACTATTGTATTGTCTTCAATACAGTATGTATTGACTACTGTATTGTCTTCAATACAGTATGTATTGACTACTGTATTGTCTTAATATGTCGCTCTTCTCTATGGTCTCCCGGTTGTATTCTGACGGAGTTGGTGCAGAGTTTCTATTTTCAGTCGTCGTTTGACTGACTGGGGTGGGGTGGGGGATTGTGGGGTGGGGGATTGTGGGGTGGGGTGGGGGATTGTGGGGTGGGGGATTGTGGGGTGGGGGATTGTGGGGTGGGGGATTGTGGGGTGGGGGATTGTGGGGTGGGGGGGGATTGTGGGGTGGGGTGGGGGATTGTGGGGTGGGGGATTGTGGGGTGGGGTGGGGGATTGTGGGGTGGGGGATTGTGGCGTGGGGGGATTGTGGGGTGGGGTGGGGGATTGTGGCGTGGGGTGGGGGATTGTGGCGTGGGGTGGGGGATTGTGGCGTGGGGGGGGATTGTGGCGTGGGGGGGGATTGTGGCGTGGGGGGGATTGAGCCTTGGGGGAGGTGATTGTGGGGGGGGGGATTGTGGCGTGGGGGGGATTGAGCCTTGGGGGAGGTGATTGTGGCGTGGGGGGGGAAGTGTGGCGTGGGGGGGCGGGGGTTGAAGGGGGTTGTAGGGGGTTGATGGGGGGTTGTAGGGGGTTGTAGCGTGGGCGGGGGGGGGGGGGGGTTGAACTGTGGGGGGGGGCTTGTTTTGGCGATATTGAAGCATCACTAAAATGAAATAAAGAGGCTAACATATTGAACAAAAATATACTGCCTGTCAACGTCACTCAATGGTCAGGGTATGGGCGTGGTGGGCTTAATGAGGATGCGGGCTTGGCTTCCCCAGTGGCGGGGGGGGGGGCTTGGCTTGGCTTCCCCTTTGGCGGCGGGCTTGGCTTGGCTTCCCCTTTGGCGGCGGGCTTGGCTTGGCTTCCCCTGTGGCGGGGGGCTTGGCTTGGCTTCCCCTGTGGCGGGGGGCTTGGCTTCCCAGTGGCGGGGGGGGGCTTGGCTTCCCCTGTGGCGGGGGGCTTGGCTTCCCCTGTGGCGGGGGGCTTGGCTTCCCCTGTGGTGGGGGGCTTGGCTTCCCCTTTGGCGGCGGGCTTGGCTTGGCTTCCCCTTTGGCGGCGGGCTTGGCTTGGCTTCCCCTGTGGCGGGGGGCTTGGCTTCCCATGTGGCGGGGGGCTTGGCTTCCCATGTGGCGGGGGGCTTGGCTTCCCCAGTAGCGGGGGGGCTTGGCTTGGCTTCCCCTGTGGTGGGGGGCTTGGCTTGGCTTCCCCTGTGGCGGGGGGCTTGGCTTGGCTTCCCGTGCGGCGGGTGTGGCATGACAAGTTGTGAATGTGAGTGACAGGTGATGGGCGTGGCTTGATAGGAGGTAGTGAGGACTGACAGATCCTGTCAGGGTGTTAATAGATGGGGGGGGGGGGCTAATAATGGGTCCTGGGGCGGGCCCTGAGCGGTGAAGGGGCGCAACTAATGGGCGGTGGCGGTAAGGTTAGTCACATAATAGAGCCAAAAACTTCTTACCAATCTTCTTTAAGCATTTTTTCTTCTTTACACAGGTGAATACGGGAGAACACGACTTCTGATTCAGTGCCAGCACCGGCCACCTTTACCTTCGCATGGCAAGCCTTATCCTACTAGAAACGAACAAATCCTCAAGGGCCGTGACGAGGATTCGAACCTGCGTCCGGGAGCATCCCAGACACTGCCTTATCCTACCAGCTTCCCCCCTGGAACACGACCAGAGAATCGGTTTGTATTCAGGTATCCAATTATTGCTGGGTGAACAGGGGGGGAACTTGGTAATATATCGTGACTGCGCAATGCATCCTGCCCAGGACTCGAACTCGGATGAAAGTGCTAGCGAGGTGCGGGGAATATGCCACCAGGTGACCACATGCAGTGAAATAATGAATTTTAGATTGATTAAGTTTAAGCTAACCAGGAGGTGGCACGGGCATGAATAGCCCGTAATGAATTTAAGTGTGGTGACTCCTTTATATCCCCCCGACCGTCCAAGTGGTTGGGCACCATTCCTCCCCCCCCCCCCCGTCCCATCCAAACTCCAAGTGCTATATAGTCGTAATGACACCATTGAATTTGGTGCAGGGGGGGGGGGATGGGGAAGGAAACATGTGCCTATTGCAAACTATACAAGCCGAATTCTTGAGCATGCAGTCCCAGCGTGGAGCCTTAACCTCATCCAACACACACACACTATAGGTAAAACAAGTCTCCAAGTACGCTACTTACGGGCTCACCATAGCCCGTGCTACATGGACATTCCGTTCTGAGTAGCTAAACAACAAAAACGTACGCTAATAGCCTAGTTCAAGAGCTGAGAGGTGGGATAATGTGAAGATAACCAACGGAACCCAGGCAATAAGGACAAAAGCAGACATTATCACGATGTGCCTAAACTATCTATGGGCTCACCATAGCCCGTGTTACTTGGAACTTTTTGTTCCAGGTAGCGAATCTTTAACAACAACAACAACAACACGATGTGCCTAAACTACTTACTTACCAAAATGAACTGTGAGGATCAGTACTTGAACCCATTAAGTGCCTCAAACCCTTTCCAGCACACAATTACTGGACGGGTAATGGGCTACATAACAAATTACTAAACTAACAAAATGTTGGTCTAACACGAGGCCAGAACCTACAGACCCTAAGGAAAGCCACGTGGGCCTATATCCTTCGACTCAGCCCTCCTGCTTAGTCACACCACCCCTTCACAAACCCTACAATTAGGCCTATTTATTTAACAAGGACAGGAGAAAGCGACTTCCCCCTTCAAGATGGCAGCGTCTTGGCTGCCCTCTACCCACCAGGAGACGGAAGGTAGAGGAGGGAGCACATGAGAAAAGTAAAGGTGTTGGGGACAAGAAGAGAATGTTTGTACCAAAGTCAACGTGGAAGGGAAATGTTCAAATAAGAGTGGGAGGAGAGAGAGACAGAGGCGGTGGTATATACACCGCCTGTATGTACCCCCAGAGCACCCAACCACACGGTACAGCGCCTGTATGTACCCCCAGAGCACCCAACCACACGGTACAGCGCCTGTATGTACCCCCAGAGCACCCAACCACACGGTACAGCGCCTGTATGTACCCCCAGAGCACCCAACCACACGGTACAGCGCCTGTATGTACCCCCAGAGCACCCAACCACACGGTACAGCGCCTGTATGTACCCCCAGGGAAAAATATGGGAGGGGAAGGAATAAAGTTACAAACGCAGGTATCTGGAGGCCTGGTCGACGACCGGGCCACGGGGACGCTAAGCCCCGGAAGCACCTAAAGGTAACCTCTAACCATCTGCTGTAACCGCGTCTACCCTTCTTAAGCGCAGGGTTAATATGTTTAGCAGAGTGCTTTGTCCTAACCTAACTCACCCCATCCTAACCTAACCTAACCTAACCTAACCTAAAAATCTAAACTAACAGAAATACAAGATAAAAAAATTGTGTTTTATATAAGGTGAACACGAGGTATGACGTCACGGGTGTCACGCCGGTACCAGGTTTTGGACCTGACTAGTCTCCTACGCACTCGCAATTCCAGGTCATTTATATCGTCTAATTATACCACTGACAGGAACATGTCACGCAAGCGCCACGTGTACACAACTCGTCCAAGTTACGAGAACAGCGCCGGGTCGTCTTTGCAATTAACAGGTCGATGAAAAACAATAGAGTGAATTAAGGAGGTCCAGCGCTATAAATATATTTTATAAATATATTTTATAAATATATTTTATAAATATATTTTATAAATATATTTTATATATATATATATATATATATATATATATATATATATATATATATATATATATATATATATTATATATATATAATTTTTTTTTTCATCAAATTCTGGCGCATGCACGGGCCGCACTGAGTTTAACATGTATGAGAAAGCTGCATGAACGCGTAAGCCAGAGATCACTTGGAACTCTGACCAGGCCAGGATTCAAACCCATGCCGTCTAGGATCACCCCTAAACGTACACAGTACCGTGACCACCGCACCAATGATCGTCTATAAGGATTGGTCAGTCTTGGTGCTTATTAACTAAGCTCCCTTTAGGGGTGATCCTAGACGGCATGGGTTCGAATCCTGGCCGGGTCAAAGAGTTCTAAGTGATCTATGGCTTGCGCGTTCATGCAGCTTTCTCATATATATATATATATATATATATATATATATATATATATATATATATATATATATATATATATATATATACACACACATACATACATACATTGTGTGTTTGTGTGTGTGTATATATAAATCATTCGCAGAACTGAAGCGGCAACAGTCTTCCACTGTGGAACTTAAAAGTTAGTATTACCAGCACTAACTCAAGGCCACATCACGAGTCCCAAGATGACTGATGTTTCTTGACCTGTAGCTACAAACCCTCGTGTACCAGCTACAGGAAAAAGAAGACAAATTGAAAATTCGCAAAGATATTGAAGGAGCGATATCCCCCCCCCTTACCCCTCCCTAACGTCCACCACCACTTTCTTACCCAGTCCAATGAGTAACCAGTCAAAAGATGAAAGACTACAAAAGTATGAAAGGGGGGAGGGAGGGAAAGGGGGGAGCAGTGAAGGCAGGGGGAGAGGTATGAAAGGGGAAGGGGAGGAAGGGTGGGGCAGGGGAGGGGAGAGAAGAGATAGGACTCGCCTCCAGGTAAGCAGGAGTATCGTATTTCTTTTATGGCCGTAGCGTACACATACCCCCCTACCCCCCACCTACCGCAGCACTGACGGGTGTTCTTGTACCTCTACAACTCTTCAACCAGAGCCCCTCGGGCACGCTTCAAAACTGATTTCCAAGACAGGTTTCTCTGATACTAGCAGGCGTCCTTGGTCTACGAAGGATCAAATGATATCGATACGCTTCCCGCTACTAAGAAAAGCCCCTTATCCTACCGACAACGAGGCCCCCGCTGATGGGCGGGAACCCAGCGAGCGGCTGAAGCCGAGAGAATTCAAGTACTCACCGAGGTCGTGGAGAGAGAAGAGGATGTTGGGGTCGTTGGCGTGGACGGTGCGCACGCTGGTGAAGTTGCCCTTCATGTAGTAGACTCGGTAGCCCCGTATCTCGCCGTTGGGCTCGGTGGGCTGGCTCCACTGCAGGTCCACCGAGCGGTCGTGGACCCGGAGCAAGGTCAGGTTCTCCGGCGGCCCCGGCACTGTCACACACAACATATAAGGCGTTAGGCCAGTCATAATTAGCATCACATTAGCAATTATTTTATGTATACATATATTTGTTGGGAAAAATTTATTTACAATCTCCAAGAAAAAGTAGAGGGAAAATGACTGAAATATACAAATAGATGAAAGATCAAACATTAAGGGGTACTTTTTGTGATTTTATATCAGATTATATGATTATATGATATGATCATATATATATATATATATATATATATATATATATATATATATATATATATATATATATATATATATATATATATATATGTCGTACCTAGTAGCCAGAACTCACTTTTTGGCCTACTATTCAAGGCCCGATTTGCCTAATAAGCCAAGTTTTCCTGAATTAATATATTTTTTCTAATTTTTTTCTTATGAAATGATAAAGCTACCCATTTCATTATGTATGAGGTCAATTTTTTTTTATTGGAGTTAAAATTAACGTAGATATATGACCGAACCTAACCAACCCTACCTAACCTAACCTAACCTATCTTTATAGGTTAGGTTTGGTTAGGTAGCCGAAAAAGTTAGGTTAGGTTAGGTTAGGTAGGTTAGGTAGTCGAAAAACAATTAATTCATGAAAACTTGGCTTATTAGGCAAATCGGGCCTTGAATAGTAGGCCAAAAAGTGAGTTCTGGCTACTAGGTACGACATATATATATATATATATATATATATATATATTAGATTTAGCAGGAAAAAACTGGGTAAAAGCTGGTTTGTAAATAGTATTAATAATTTATGGTAAAGATTTTCAAACGTAGGTTAGATTTATATAAGAGTATATTTGACTGGATATAAATAGGCTCTGTATGGCTTGTGTAAAAAGGCTTCTTCAAATCTAAACAATTAAACAATAAATTGTACAACAAATGTCCAAATTAAAAGCGAAAATGAAAAAGGGGCAATATTTAACTCAATGGCCAGACTCACATTAAAATAACTAATAATAAATAATTATTAAAAAAAAAAAAAACAGCAAGACCCTGTCCCTCGTGGTCGACAACCTAACAATTCAGCGTCAGTATTAGAAGCAAGTTCAAGTATGTTTATTGAGACAAGAAAGAAATACATCTCAAAGGGATAGAGTAGCTTAGGCTATTTCTACCCCCTAATTATTAGAATCTGTGGGGGGTAGAAATAGCCTAAGCTACTCTATCCCTTTGAGATGTATTTATTGCTTATTTCAATAAACATACTTGAACTTGAATTGAATTAGAATCAATTAAGTACCCATCCATGTGCTCAAGGAGCACAAGTTCACTTGCGTGGTCTTCCAGGTTTGCCAGCTTCTTTGAATCATTACCAACTCTCTCCTTACTCGTAACACCATTGGTTTACGATAGACATTGCCTTAACAATAGAAAACTCGCTTATCGCAAGATCCTATTTGCAATACAAGCAAGCTTGCATTCCATTGAAACCGGCTTCAAATGCCTAGTCTATATTTAAATCTACACTTTCTGAGTTCAATGAGGTTCCTGCGCATCTTGTACACGTAGCACGCCCAGCATGTGTGCGCGCGTGTGTGTGTGTGTGTGTGAAATATTAATAATATTGTGTAACAAACTTTACAAGATTGTCACTTGCTTAGCTAAATGAACTGTGGGGTTTGAGTTCCAGAACCTATTATGTGCCTCTGGCAACTCCTTCCCACCACCACCACCGCCCACAGGATGGCTATGAAGGGGGGGTGCATAATGAAGCAAGCAATCAATCAACCAGTTTACCTCGAGGATACGCAAGCTCTTCAACGACACACACTCACAGATTCCAGGCACCGGCACTATGCACAAACATAATTCGACCATCATGCTGAAACATGCGCTTTGGCACATGTATCCTCGCCACACCTGTGTGTGTTCACCCCATTAAAGACTCCCAGGTGTAGTTATCCCGTGGATGCATGTCGGCACATAAGCATCAAAGTTGTGACTTGTGACTGATGTCGTTGTGACGGATGTCGTTGTGACGGATGTCGTTGTGACGGATGTCGTTGTGACGGATGTCGCTGAAGCATGGAAAATGTCTGCCACGGTCTGTAATCACCAGACATGAGTACAGAACATCTTTCCATTAAATGCAGGAGTCAAAAGAGAAAAAGAGAAAGAGAGAAAAAGAGAAAGAGAGAAAAAGAGAAAGAGAGAAAAAGAGAAAGAGAGAAAAAGAGAAAGAGAAAGAGAGAAAAAGAGAAAAAGAGAAAGAGAGAAAGAGAGAGAGAGAGAGAGAGAGAGAGAGAGAGAGAGAGAGAGAGAGAGAGAGGGGGGGGGGGTAGGGGGAAAGAGAGGGGGGGGGTAGGGGGAAAGAGAGGGGAGGGGGAGAGAGCGGGGGGAGAGAGCGGGGGGAGAGAGAGGGGGGAGAGAGAGGGGGGGGAGAGAGGGGAGGGGGAAAGAGAGGGGAGGGGGAAAGAGAGGGGAGGGGGAAAGAGAGGGGAGGGGGAGAGGGCAGTGTGGGAGGGAGTTACAAATATGTGCGTACGTCGTGTAGAGGCCAGTACGTGGATACGTTAACTCGCGTGCTATAAAGCCAACATCTCGGAAACTATCAACCTAACACAATTTGATACGATGATTATCAGGAACGACATCAACGCCTGATTAGATTCTGCCGATTCTCCCTCGGGGAGCGCGAAGTGTTATAATTACTAGTGTTCCCAGGACAGAGCCACGTGGCGGAGGAGGCCAGCTGGGGTTCCCTAGACCTTCATCACGCAGCATTTCAATAACAAAAGACAGCTGTGTTACCGAATGTAAACATTTATTTATAGTCACGTGGGTGTCCCCCCGTGGCTGCCAATTTATGAATGGGAAAGATGTGACTACGAGCCTACGCATATGAATGGCTAAATGTGTGTGTGACCATTATGCTAAGATTGTATGAATGGGCAGATGTAGACATGATCCTGTATAAGTGAATAGCCAAACTGGTGGCCCCCCTTGAAGCTCCAACTTTATGAACGACTTAAATGTGATCATTTTTTAAGTCTCCCTCCCCCCCCACAGTGAAACTTGTTCACAAAATTGGTTCATCTAACTTTCAAAACTTAACAGAATGTTATTAAACCAATTTAATATCTGCAACATGCGTCTTGTAAGTAAAATTAGCAAAGATTGCAAAGAACGCTATTTGCAAGGGCGGTGGTTGTGTGTGTGTGTGTGTTGCAAGATTCATTCACCTGTTCTATTTTTAAGACCGCCAATTATGTAGTAAAAGTGGTGCCTCGAGGATCAGCCAGTCACGTGAGGCGGGGTGCTACAACTCTTACTAAAAATAGTCTTCAAAATACCCCCGAATCACGCGATTGGGTCCGAGCAAGTTTGTGGCGTATGCAACGAGCAGTTGCACGGTCAGTCAAATGATTACCGTTGCACAAGGTGCTCTCACTTTGAACCTTCGAGTGACGGACCTGTTGGTTTAGGCCTGCACGAAGATGTAAACATTGACTAGGGCCAAGGGGCCAGATTCACGAAGGGCACTTACGAACGTGTACATCTTTGCCTGATTCACGAAAGCACTTACGCAAGCACTTACGAACGTGTACATCTTTGCCTGATTCACGAAAGCACTTACGCAAGCACTTACGAACGTGTACATCTTTGCCTGATTCACGAAAGCACTTACGCAAGCACTTACGAACGTGTACATCTTTCCTCAATCTTTGACGGCTTTGGTTACATTTATTAAACAGTTTACAAGCATGAAAACTTGCCAGTCAACTGTTGTTATTGTTATAAACAGCCTCCTGGTGCTTCGGAGCTTATTAACTGTTTAATAATTGGAAACAAAGCCGCCAAAGATTGAGAAAAGATGTACAGGTTCGTAAGTGCTTGCGTAAGTGCTTTCGTGAATCTCCACCACCGCCGGAGGGACTTGAACCACCACCAACTTAAAGTACAGACGAACAGCATCACTCAAAGAGGAAAGTGAAAGCTTGCTAAACAGGAAACGACTGGGTTATCTTGAGGTTATCTTGAGATGATTTCGGGGCTTTAGTGTCCCCGTGGCCCGGTCCTCGACCAGGCCTCCACCCCCAAGGAGCAGCCCGTGACAGCTGACTAACACCCAGGTACCTATTTTACTGCTAGGTAACAGGGGCATAGGGTGAAAGAAACTCTGCCCATTGTTTCTCGCCGGCGCCCGGGATTGAACCCGGGACCACAGGATCACAAGCCCAGTGTGCTGTCCGCTCGGCCTACCGGCTCTGGGTTGCCAGAATTCATGAAGGCTCGGCTAATTGTCCCACGCAGGTAACTCTGGTTTGATCAAAAGAACCGAGAGGATGAGTAACAAAATGAGAGACTAGTTGTTGTTGCTTAAGATTCGCTATTTGGAACAAAAAAGTTCCAAGTAGCACGGGCTATGGCGAGCCCGTAGTAGGCCCATGGTGCTTGTTCCGCTGCTCTTGTTTACATGTAAGTGACCTAGGGAAGGCATAGTCCTTTAGGTTGTAACTGTCACAGACGATTTAAAAGTTGATGAGGTTAGCTTAGCCAATGATAAATGTGTAACATTATTATTTTTTTCAGATTAAATAAGGCCTCAATGCATTATATGATGCGAGGTTAATTTAAAAGGGAAGTGAAAGCATATGCCGCTGATGATATCCTTTTAATGTGGGCTTCTGGGAACAGGTTCGGTGTGATATCAACCCCCAGATCTTTCTCTCTATTTGACTCTTGCAGGATATCACCTTCCAGATGATACCTTGTGTTCAGCCTTCTGCTCCCTTCATTTAGTTTCATTATTTTACACTTTCCTGAGTTAAATTCTAGTAGTCATTTTCTAGACCATTCCTCCAGTTTGTCCAGATCATCCTGTAGTCTGTGTGTGTGTGTACTCACCTAGTTGTGCTTGCGGGAGGGGGGGGGGTTGGGCTTCGGCTCTTTGGTCCCGCCTCTCAACTGTCAATCAACTGGTGTACAGGTTCCTGAGCTTATTGGGCTCTACCATATCTACACTTGAAACTGT